GGTGGTGTGTGGGTTAGACGTACCATCTTATGGGTGGTGTGTGGGTTAGACGTACCATCTTATGGGTGGTGTGTGGGTTCGACGTACCATCTTATGGGTGGTGTGTGGGTTAGACATACCACCTTATGGGTGGTGTGTGGGTTCGACGTACCATCTTATGGGTGGCGTGTGGGTTAGACGTACCATCTTATGGGTGGTGTGTGGGTTAGACGTACCATCTTATGGGTGGTGTGTGGGTTAGACGTACCATCTTATGGGTGGTGTGTGGGTTAGACGTACCATCTTATGGGTGGTGTGTGGGTTAGACGTACCATCTTATGGGTGGTGTGTGGGTTAGACGTACCATCTTATGGGTTGCGTGTGGGTTAGACGTACCCTTATGGGTGGTGTGTGGGTTAGACGTACCATCTTATGGGTGGTGTGTGGGTTAGACGTACCATCTTATGGGTGGCGTGTGGGTTAGACGTACCATCTTATGGGTGGCGTGCGGGTTAGACGTACCATCTTATGGGTGGCGTGTGGGTTACACGTACCATCTTATGGGTGGTGTGTGGGTTAGACGTACCATCTTATGGGTGGCGTGTGGGTTGGACGTACCATCTTATGGGTGGTGTGTGGGTAAGACGTACCACCTTATGGGTGGTGTGTGGGTTGGACGTGCCATCTTATGGGTGGTGTGTGGGTTGGACGTGCCATCTTATGGGTGGTGTGTGGGTTGGACGTGCCATCTTATGGGTGGCGTGCGGGTTAGACGTACCATCTTATGGGTGGCGTGTGGGTTAGACGTACCATCTTATGGGTGGTGTGTGGGTTAGACGTACCATCTTATGGGTGGCGTGTGGGTTAGGCGTACCATCTTATGGGTGGCGTGTGGGTTAGACGTACCATCTTATGGGTGGTGTGTGGGTAAGACGTACCACCTTATGGGTAGGGTGTGGGTTAGACGTACCATCTTATGGGTGGTGTGTGGGTTAGACGTACCATCTTATGGGTGGTGTGTGGGTTAGACGTACCATCTTATGGGTGGCGTGCGGGTTTAGACGTACCATATTATGGGTGGCGTGTGGGTTAGACGTACCACCTTATGGGTGGTGTGTGGGTTAGACGTACCATCTTATGGGTGGTGTGTGGGTTAGACGTACCGGGTTATGGGTTAGACATACCACTTTAGATTGCGTAGGTTTAAGGTTTAATAAAGATGTAGTCTTTTGGTTGTATTAAAGTCGTCACTATAAACCGACAAAACTTCATGTTTCTGTTTTGCTGATATTTTCATCAATCCTCTTTCTTGTCCACTACTGAAGCAGTGTAATCCCATCTTCTACCTTAAAATGAAAAAAATGCGATTTTTAAGACTTACTGTTAGGTTAAGGGCTATGGTTAGCTTAATCTGAAACTGAGGGTTAAGTTGTTTTCAGTAAGGTTTATAGTTAATTTATGTAACAATACCACGTGATGTAAATCATGTGACTGGTAGTAAAATACGAGCAAGCAACTTGTTTAGTCTGCATCCACACGATCGATCAAGGGCAGAGTTTCTTCCAGGCATCTCTTCGAAGAAAGTCTACCGCCCCCTCCCCTCCCTCCCGAGCGAAATGGAATTTATATAGAAAATATATACATTTAACAGTGTCACAATTTTAGTCCGCCCCCCCCCCCCCGAAAATTTCAAATGCCACCTCCCCCCCCCCCCCCCCACCTGGAGAAAAAAGTCTGGAAGAAACACTGATTCAAGAGTAACGCATTGGTGACATCAACTCTGGTGACGTCGGGGTGTGGGCGTGGCATCCTGAGGTAGTACATTGGTTCCACCTACTCTAGTGACGTCAGAGGGTCGGGGTGTGGGCGTGGCACCCTGAGGTAGTACATTGGTTCCACCTACTCTAGTGACGTCAGAGGGTCGGGGTGTGGGCGTGGCATCCTGAGGTAGTACATTGGTTCCACCTACTCTAGTGACGTCAGAGGGTCGGGGTGTGGGCGTGGCACCCTGAGGTAGTACATTGGTTCCACCTACTCAAGTGACGTCAGGGGTTCGGGGGTGTGAGGGAAATATTATTAATCAACATGAAATTTTGTTTTCGTTAAATGATCGACCGTTTTAGAACTCTATTGCTACCATTAACCTGTCTCATTTAATTGTACTGGCTGATACTTGTTCACGTTTGGGAAAGTGCGTAGCCGTAAAATGAGAATTAGGGCCTCATTTCATTTCCCATCGAACTATTTTAAAGCTGTGCTATCGATTTTTATGAATTAACATTTATTTCTCTGACTGAATGAATAATAAAATAACCAGCGGCCTGGTTCCTGTTTAACTTGTTAGGTTTATTCTTCTGTTTGGTTTGTTCCGTCATTTTACCGTAGCCAGATCATTGTTTTTGTAATCCTAATACAAAACTCTACTGCGTAAAGACCCTCCTTCAACCTCAACAACACTTTTAAAAAGAAATTTCTTTAAGTGATAGCTCAATTATACATTTCTTGCTACGTTCATTCCACTCTTAACAAAGCCGATATTAGCATTTTGGTAGTCACCATCTCTTGTACATTCTATGTTAATCTATAGGAATATGAAATCAAGTGAAGGGTGGTTTCTTTAAAACAAAGAAGAGGTTACATGCAAAGCGTAGTAGGTGAAGAGGTATTGATTAAAGGTTGTAGACAACTAGAAGTTGATTTGTTCATCATAAAATTAACATTTTCAGTTTGTGGTTTGGTTTATTGTCAAGCACACTATTCGGTGCAGTTTGAGTTTTTAATTTTTGGTCTTTGTCGTTAGTATTATGATAAACATTAAAAAACCTGCTTGGAGTTTTGGCTTCAAAATTAATACGGAGCCTTGTTTGTTTCCATCAATTAATCAGACTTCATTAATCAGTAGGAAGCACAAACTACGGCAGCTGTCAACCAATACAAATGATGAAAAATCAGAGAAGTAAAAACAAAGTGTTACAAATGATGAGCACAATCCGTCTATTGTTGAGTAGCCTTTGAATCTAAAACAACAATTCACACAGAGCTTAAAGTTAATATCTTATTCAGTGGCGTAGCGAGGTCGGGTGTCACCCGGTGCGGCACTTAATGGTGTCACCCCCCAGAGGCGTAGCGACCCGGGGACAAACTTTCAAATTTTTCATTTGCACCCCCCCCCCCCCTCAAGTTTTCGATTTGCAACCCCCCTCAAGTTTTCGATTTGCACCCCCCCCCCCTCAAACTTTCGATTTGCAGTCCCCTTCAAGTTTTTCTCTATAAATTTTGTTATTTTTTGCCTTGGTGTCACCCGTTGCAGTCCGCACCCCACGCCCCCTCCCCATCCCCCCCTAGCTACGCCTCTGATCTTATTATTAAACATGCATATGCTGTCATTCTGATTGGTGACACTACAAAACAGAATAATTCAGACAAATTTCAATGGTTAACCTATATTTATCAGTAGTGGGGGGGGGGGGGGGGTCCACCAAATAAAAAAAAGAAAGAAAATGGCCAGTCATCAGGAGACTGGTGTCCCCATTCCGGTTGACGTGAATATTGTTAGGTTAGTCTAACTCGACTTTCGTCTGGATCTACGGTAGAATAAAAACATGCGTCGGGTACTGAGTGAGAAAAAAAAAGAAAGAAAGAAAGTAAGAAGAAACGTAACGAAATACAACAAAATGGTATATCGATCAAACCAACCAGTCAATAATGCACTCTTGTTTAGTTATTCGTAAGAACTTTGGTTTATTAAATTTAAAAAAATCTCAATATAATAATATCTTTTTTTGTTTTATTCATTTACACTGTAGGTATTTAGCTCACAACAAAGGAAGTGTACTGAAATCACAGGCAGCAGTTACGCACAAGACAACAGCAATATATCAACAACAACAACCACCACAACAACAACAACTACAAATACCACTCCATCGCAACCCTCCACTTCTCCCACAACAACAACCACCACCACAACAACAACGAAAACAACAACTACTACAACAAAAGTAACCACTACCACAGTTAAACCGACAACTACCACTGTGGCTACCACGCACGCACCATCAACCTCAACCACGACGAAAGAAACAACGAACCCTGTCAGTAACACTACCACTTTAGCAGATACCACCACAGCTACACCAAAAACTACCACTGCTGCCATGACGACACAACCTGCCACATCAACAACTACCACATCAACAACCACACCATCTACCACAACAACCGAACCAACGCAATCAACAGCAGTAACCACATTTACACCACCACCAACTACTACCTCTTTCATCTCAATACAACCAGAAACATCAACAATACCTAACACTACACCTACAATTACACCGACAACCCAACCAGAAACATCAACAATACCTAACACTACACCTACAATTACACCGACTACCCAATCATCAACATCAACAATATCTAACACTACACCTACAATTACACCGACTACCCAATCATCAACATCAACAATATCTAACACTACACCTACAATTACACCGACTACCCAACCAGAAACATCAACAATATCTAACACTACACCTACAATTACACCGACAACCCAACCAGAAACATCAACAATATCTAACACTACACCTACAATTACACCGACAACCCAACCAGAAACATCAACAATATCTAACACTACACCTACAATTACACCGACAACCCAACCAGAAACATCAACAATATCTAACACTACACCTACAATTACACCGACAACCCAACCAGAAACATCAATACTGACATTCTCTACACCTACAACAAACTCACAGGCGACATCAGCCCCTCTTAACACAGCCACCACATCACCACCACAACCAACAAACACAACATCTTCCCCGCCTATCACCGAAACACAAACCACACCCAATCCATCCACGTCTACTCCCTCTTCATTAACCACGCCCCAAATTATTAGCTCCGCCCCAAATGTCGACAACACATCAACGTCTGACAGCAGGATTGTAGTGGCGCACAAATGTGCGTGCAGGTGCACGGAGAAGATGCAAACACAGCTCACGCAGAAACAGCTGGACACGAAAATACGCTTGTTACAGGAGGAACTGACAGGTATTTACATCGCATGTTTATGGTCGAATATTTACATAGATCTGGTGTATTGTCGAATATTTACATAGATCTGGTGTATGGTCGAATATTTACATAGATCTGGTGTATGGTCGAATATTTACATAGATCTGGTGTATGGTCGAATATTTACATAGATCTGGTGTATTGTCGAATATTTACATAGATCTGGTGTATGGTCGAATATTTACATAGATCTGGTGTATGGTCGACTATTTACATAGATCTGGTGTATTGTCGAATATTTACATAGATCTGGTGTATGGTCGAATATTTACATAGATCTGGTGTATGGTCGAATAAATACATAGATCTGGTGTATGGTCGAATATTTACATAGATCTGGTGTATGGTCGAATATTTACATAGATCTGGTGTATGGTCGAATAAATACATAGATCTGGTGCATGGTCGAATATTTACATAGATCTGGTGTATGGTCGAATATTCACATAGATCTGGTGTATGGTCGAGTATTTACATAGATTTAGCTTTAGGTCGAATATTTACAGTTTTTTTAAACATAAATCTGGTTTATCGTCTAATATTTACCTTTTTTTTTACATAGATCTAGCTTACGATGATTAAAAAAAAAGAAAATCTATTCTTGAAATTACCCATTTTGAATTAATACAACGTTATCAACACACTATCATATATTCTTCAAAATTTTCACAGCTTGTAAGACCTGCCTTAGCCATACAAAAAATACATTCTTCTAATTTTTCCACAGCTTGTAGGACCTGTCTTAGCCATACAAAAAACATGTACATCAGTGTACCTGACTACAGGGTGTCTTCTACTACAATCGGACTTTCCGGTAAGCGGTTTAGATATGGACGACGCTTCTGCATGGGGGAGGGGTGGGGGGGGGGGGTGGTAATATAGGACGGACTTGGCAGATTCCCCTCCCCCCACCCCGATATTAATCCATGGACTTACTTGAAATGAACATAAAAACGATAAATTAAAAAAAAAATCCGCATCTTTGCAAAAAAATAAGAAAAAAATTCAACAAGAGCAAAAGACAAACACGATTGCTTATAATAATAAGAAAACAATTGGTCAATAAGCAATGCCCGTGCGTTCTTAGGCATAGAGGGCCTAATTATTATGCAATTATTAAAACAAACAGGTACAAGTCATGACTTCACGAATATGCGAGTGTGTCTAGTGGATAATTAATTTAATTATAATTCCGAATTCTAAGCCTACGAACGACATCTTTACTATTTGAACATTGATAGGACCTACTAGTATCTAAGATTAGTGAAGAGATATACATTTGGAGCTTACTACACAGCAGTATAAAAACAGAACTACTCACCAAGTTAAGTGCAATCACGGTAACCATCGACCTGAAGATTCTATTTTTACCCCCAGGTGTGGCTTTTGTTACAACAGTGGTGGCCGCCATCTTTCTACTGGACCTGGTCAACATGTTCAGGCTGTTCTGTGAGCAGGTCAAGACAAAAAGACCCTACATGATGGGTCAAGACTAGGAGACCCAACACAAGGGGTCAAGACTAGGAGACCATACACAATGAGTCAAGACTAGACCTTACACAATGAGTCAAGACTAGGATACCTGGACACATTAAACCCCTCCCTTTAATAGAGGAAAGAAATATGAACTTGTCACAAAACCTTCCCCCCCCCCCCCCCCCCCCCAACCATAATTCGAATGAAAATTAACCTATGTTTAAAAGATACAAAAAAGTTTTACCCCTTTGGTCAGTAAAGTCTGAATCCCCCCCCCCCTTTCAAGTTCCTCACCAAGGTGAAGTTGCTCTTTTAACCTGTCAGTCCATGGGGGATATTAAGTAGAGTTCATCTGTTTGTTTCATCAATCAGCCTAGATAAATAAAATCATATCTGTGTGCTGTACAGTAGAGCAATCAGTTACATAGTTAGTTATTTATAGAATAAAACTAAACAACCCTACAACACTGTTAGTGGGCTCATGTACACACTTTATGCATACACATTTTCTAATGCCATGCATGGTCATGATGTTCTGATATTCAAGTGTCTCCAAACTATTTGGTAGACCTAAATGCTACTTAGCCTATAACAGGGGTCTCCAAACTTTTCAGTCCGAGGGCCTCATTAACTATCAAATTTCAGTTTGGGGGCCAGTTTCTTCCAGGCTTGTCTTTGATTTTTCTGGCCAAAGTTCCTTGGCCATTACCAACAAACGAGTTTTCTTTGGACAAAAAGATCTCAGCGGGCCGGATGAGAGGACTTTGCGAGCCGCATCCGGCCCGCAGTTTGGAGACCTCTGGTCTATAATATACAAGGCAATCCATTTTTATTTTAGTATTTAATAACACACAGACACAGTGACATTTGTAAAGTAAACAAATGTGAACATAAATACCCAGGCCCAGTTAGCAACATAACTTTGCCATCCATAATGCAACAAAAAAGCTATCCAATTTAAGACAGGCTACTGTTTTTATTCAATGAGGCATATTTTATTTGGGTTATATTATTACCTCTAAATTTATTGTTGGCACTATATTATTAATGACATTTTTAAGCCCTAAATATTGAATTTGCCAGTTTTATTCACTCATGGGTGGTTAGGCAAACTATGTGTAAACAAAAATGTTCAATTACAATAAACATCAGAATACAAGCTGGAGAAAACGAAAAATTGTTTATTCTGCTGATTTATTTTGATAACAGTACAGATTTAACCATTTTTTTTGTTTATTCTTTTTTGAGGTAGCCTTAGAAGTATTTTTAAGATTGGCAACTAATATTGTTTGCAAGATGTAACTGACCACAGATTAGAAGGTTGACAATGACTATTTTTAATGCAGATATGAATAACAACTTTGTACACCTCATTAAGTTACCACTGATGATGCAACTGAAGGAAATGTTGAGAAAAAAGTATTATATATCAATTTCTGTTATTTCGATAGTAAACAGTGCACTTGCATTCATCAAGCTGATGAAATTAACAGTGTATTTATGATAATTTATTTTTGATAATTTAATGGGAGATAATACTACATCAAAACCAGTGTAGGCTGAAAAGAGAGTGTAATTTATAGAAAAGCTTTTCAGCCAATTATAGTATAAACTATAATCATAAGTTTTTTATCTAGATAAATAGATTTGGTATATTTATAAAAGTTATTCTTATTGTCATATTAGAATAAAATAATGCAAAATGAATTCTGCAATTGTATGTTATACATTTAATGCTTGGAGTAGCCAATATTTTTTATGATAGTAGTTTTGCTAAGATTTATGAGCTCATCAAATTTAACCACATGAAATAACTCAGCAACTACTTATGTTCTGAACATCAACAAACACTAAATTCAAGGTATTGGTCAGACAATTTTTTATTTACACACCCTTTTTATAATGTAGTAGGGTACAAAGTCAAGGAAATAAAAATGACAATTTGATAACTATTTACATGTTAGCAAAACAAGTGAAGCGAGATTGTAGCCTTACTAATTACTTAGAAATAGCAGGTTTGAGATGGTATGTGAATAAAAATAATGTGCGATGAAAACTACACCGTACATTTTAAAAGCATTGGAATCATTAAATTTACACACAACAGTGCCCGCATGAAAATAAATTCTAGGGAACATGAATATTAAAAAAAAAACCTAACTGATCTATCTTAAACAGGGCAAAAAATTTTTTTTAGGATAACAAGCAAGTTGGGGCAATGAAATACTTCAAATTATAATGGTGAATATAAATAAAAAAAAAAAATAACTTTACATCCGAGAACATGGGGCCAAATAACAACAGAACAGTTTATAAAAAGTAACAGATGATTCACCAGACCCAACTCTTCATAGGTAGTTCTACAATGCTATTTGGCATCACTCTTCTCAAGGGGCGCATAATTCAACAACTTCTCAATCAGGTCAACATGGGAGAGAAGCATTCTGCGACAACAGTATCTTTTCAAGCCCAAAGCATCCAGAGCATCTCTGGAGAGAAAATATAGTTAGAAATAAAGTGTTAGACTACTAGACTGTGTTAGTGATAGAAAATGGTAGAGAGAAAAATATATACAATATGTTAAAAAAAATTAATGTCAGTGTTAGAAACCAATGGCTAATTAAAAAGGCTAAAATATTAATTACACTATTTTCAGGTTAGGACTGCTTATCAACTTAATATAATATAATATAAATAATATTTAATGCATCTGGAAGAACTTACACAGGCCTTTGGGTTTAAGCTTATATAAACAGTTAAACATTATGAACACTAGTTTATACTAGATAATGAGATAATAATTTTTAATAATAATAATTTATTAAAATTGTAACAATTTAACACAAGAGCCTCTCACCCTTCAGTGTACTCAACTTGCAGCAAGCCAATGTACGACTCCCACTTGTTGCCAATCACTTTACCGCAGGTAAAACACCGAATGGGAATAATCATTGTGAATCAACAGCAGGCTCCTGAAAAATAAAACAAAATTTAGTAGTAGAAAAAAATACCATGGAAATAAAATGAAAACACTTGCTTAAAATTAGGGGCAAGAAAAATAATAGACACTTAAGAATTGCTGTTTGAATATTTAATAAGCCATAATGAACAAGAACTGAATGTCAGATAAAGTAGTTTGCTTGTAATAGAAATTATGACGAAAATGAGATCTATAATAAAATTAAAATTATATAATTATTATAATATACTTATGTTACAGTACTAAACAGACCTGCAAAAACTACTCACACTGTAGATTATGTATCACTAATGTTTCAGTAATGGTGACCTGAATATGAGAATATCCCATAAATATAATGTCAATTTAAAAATTTGTTATTGTTACAAGATGAGAAAAAACAAGCTTATACATCTGGTTCTATGTGATATACCGAAGCTAACTGGAAACTATAAAGTCCAAATAAAATCATGAAAAGACTAGGCTTAGAGTTAGGTGTCAAGACAAGTATAACAATTAACTATGCTAATCCTGGTCCTATCCTACTGCGTTTTTTTCTCTGCTAGAGTGTTAGGCCTAGATGAAATATTTAGGCCTAACTTTCATTACATTAACTGTTAACATATCAAAATTAATATTATAATTAAATAGGCTGCATTTATGTAGTATGCTATCCTTTCCATCAAAGCGTTAAATAAATATAGGTAGCATGTATTCCAATGATAGAATTGAAGAATGTCTCAAGATGAAAATAGATCCTGTATACATGTTTAGTGATTTCCATTAGATGTAAGCTACAGGTGGAGTTTTGTTGTATTGATCTAGATTTAACTATTTAATTAACATTTTGCTTCATAGAGAGCGGTCGGCGTGGTCGAGTCGGTAATGCTCATGGTTGCTAAACTGAAATGTCTCGAGTTCGAACCCTCTGGCAGACGAGGCTCCTTAACGGCGGAGAGCCACTCTTCTAGGAGAGACAACTCCAAAATCAAACAACTGCTGCCTTGTAGTTTGTTCTTGGTTGGACAAAGGCTATGGAAGCAAATCCAAAAAGAAAAACAGGGTGAAATCGAAGTCAATAGCCTCAATGGTGCATAACCAGTTGACATGTATCCTTAATTGTGTTGGAGAGGGATCCCTTCCAACACTAAAATTAAGAACAAAGAAGAAGAAGCTTCATAGAATCAGACTCTTCTAATTACAACTTATACGAATATCCACAACAAAGCTTCCAAGTTTTTGTTGTTTTCTTTAACATTAATATATTGCAAATTTAATATTTCTAAGCCAATTTCTTTGTAACCCAACAAAAGAAAATATAGGCCAAGAGACTAAAAACTTAGGCCTAATTATTAATTACAATTAAGACCCCCAATTACAATTAGTTAGAGTCAATTAGACCCCCCTCATAAATAGGCCTAATCATAATATTTTATAGGGGGCCTATTTCCTTGCCTTTTCACTCATTTTTTAACTTTTGTACTGTTTGACTCACTAGGTCAACTATCTTTTAATATTTTAAAAATCTTCTTTTATTTATTTTAAGTCATTTAAGCCTAAGTTCTACTATTCGAAGATCTAACTTTACTAAGTACTATTACTCTAACTAAAGTAGATCTAAAATCTAAGTCAGTTGTTACATTTATTTAGTAGGTAGGCCTAGAATCTAGATCTAGATCTTCTATTCTTCTAGTTGGCAGTAGTTGGCGAATCACAGTTTAATTTTAAAGCCTAGTTTATTTATAGCTGTGACTAACAGAGCTAGATCAAGACTACTTGACTAGATCTAGACCTTAATTAAAAGTAGGCCTAGACCTACTAACTTTTTGCTTTTACTAATTTTTAAAAACTGACGCCTATCGATAACTGGTACTACTAGATCTAGATCTAGAGACTAGAGACACCAGCTAGAGTAGAGTCTAGAACGAGATTTAAATTTGATTCTACTGAATTTACACATAAAATGATTTAATGAGATAAATAAAACAAAAAGAACGCTTGAAAAGAATGTAAAATAAGATAAAATATTT